CTGCCTAAGTGTCTGCATTGAAGATAATATCTAATTACGCTTCAGAGAAATGCCCGGAAGTCGAATGACGTGAAATTATGTAAAAATTGTTTATAAATGCTTGTAAAAAATGGCATGTATAATTATTTGGATTTATGTATAGAGGAGAGATATCGATTTCGACGTCAGGCCCCGTTAAAACATGCGTGGGCGGACGAGATGTTTAGAAAATAACGGGTGGCGGGGGTAAAGTTTGGCACAGCGGGAACTGTCAGTCGGCTGAAGGGCACTTTCTCTGAAGCGGCTTCGAACCGTCACGCGGAACTAGTCGTCGAGTTTGTTAGTGTGAGTAGCGTATTTCCGATTGGCAGGGGAAGCCTGTTCACCTCGCAGACGAGCTCCGTCACCGAGGCTACCAGCGACGAGAACGACATCGATATGGAGGATCCGCCGAGAGTCACCACGTAAGTTTTATCTCAACGTCCACGGAAATTATGCGAATCTCTTATGCGAATTTAGTGATTTGTTAATCGATTAAAATACGTGCTATTCATGGACTTTTGAGACACTCTGTGCGAGTCTTTTGTAAAATTATGTGTGATGAATCGAAAAATCGATAAGGGCCAGAAGTAGGTGACGGGTTCCAATTTAGGAAAACTGAGCTAACCGTGATATATCTGAAGAACCATGACCCAGGTCCGAGGCCGACGTTGACTGTCCTCAGTCTCTAAAACCCTACATCTTTTGTTTAACACATTTTTCTCTCCGGCAAAAGTACGAAAATCTGCCACTTGGTAATGTCGTCTATACGACGAAGAATTACGTTTAAATTCGTAAGTTTGATGATCATCGTGGGACGCATTGAAAGTCAAGTTTCATTGCCAGTGAACGATCATGAGGAGACAAACAGAAGAACGACGGTATTAACGTTTCTGGAAAGAGCCGCGTTACCTCGCGGCGGCTCCCGTGAAAGGATTTCCAGCTTCCTCCCACGTCTCACCCCCGTCGCTGTCTCTTTATTTTTTTTCCCTCCCCCTCTGAACCAACTCCGAAAAGCACGGCGTGTAAGTGCTTTTTCCACCGCTGCCATTACTTCGCTCCGCGGGCGGCCTACATTCTTTGGAAAAACTGATACTCGAACAGTTTCGACACAAAGAACGCGAGTCTACCCTTTTCTCTCTTTATTTCCTCTTCCCCCCCCCCTTTCTTTCTTCGCCGACTTTCGTGACGCGCTCGTCTCACGCGTTTAACGTGTCCTCTGTTCCTTTGCGTCCCTTTTTCCTTTTAATTTTCCCTTCTTCCGTTCTCGCGAGGCAACAGCTTCCCGCGATGGGATGTAAAATCGTTTGTTGAAAGTAGCCCAGCGGCGCTGATTAGAATACCGTTTTCGTCGAGTCACTTCAATTTCTCTCATGAATCCGACCGCAGATTCAGTGTAGACACGTGCACGTCACAAATGCAGCTTAGATGTACATACAGTCTCTCATCTCTCGTCAATTCTTTCCACTCCCCCCG